ATGCGGCGCTCAGCAATCCCATTTTGCTGCGGGGAGTCCGGAAGCGTGAAGGACTGGCGGATGCCTCGCGCACGACAGTAGGCACGCAGAAGGCCAGAGGAGAACTCTCCGCCTCTGTCCGAGTGCAGACGCAACACAGGAAAGTCGGAGCCAAAGCTCTGCCTGAGCTGAAGACGAGCTGCGCGGATCCAGACGATCAGCACCTCAGTGACCTCACCCTTGCTGCGCAAGGGGAAGACGGTGGTGTAACGCGAGTAGTCGTCAACAACGAGCAGGAAGTAGCGCTCCTGACCCTGTCCACGGACGCGGGCTGGGCCCCACACGTCCATGTGAAGCGTCTGCAGCGGGGCCTCTGTCGGAGGAAACTGGGAGGAGTGAGGGGCAGCACGCTGCCGACCCTCAACACAAGGGACGCAGGTAGGGGCAGGCCCCGGAGGGAGGGGAGGAAGGGACCGGGGAAGACCAGAGACAAGGACACGGGAGGCCATGCCTCGGAGACGAGGCAGGGAGGGGTGACCAAGGCGGTGGTGCTAGAGGAGAGTCTCGTGAGACAGGAGGCGACACGAGCAGGGGGCAGACTCAGGACCAGACCTGGACGCTGCAGCAAACACCTTACCTGATGCAGCTACCTGACCAGACGCAGTGACTGGAGGAGACTCAGTGGTCAGAGTGTACAGGCTCGACCCCGGCCGACGTGTAAACGTAGCCAGGTGGCGACCTGTGCTAGCCTCCGTGCAGTGTGTCACCCGCTGACGAGCAGGAGTGAACTGGTGGACACCCGCATCCTGTAGGTCAGCACCACTCACCAGGTTCGTTGAGAACGAGGGGAGGTAGAGACCAGACAGGGTGCCAGAGGGGGCCGCCGGACACGGAAGGACCGTGGAGAAGCGAGACAGGACAGGCCCCCCAGAGGGGTCCGCCAGGGACACCGCAACCGGCCGACTGAGCGGCGTGAGAGTGGTGCGGTCCCGAAAGAAGGAGCGAGAGGCCCCAGAGTCGAGGGTGAAGGTGTGAGAGGCCGAGGCCGACACAGTACCTGAGAGCGCAGACTCACCAGTACCTGAGCGTGCAGGCGCAACGGCACCTAGTGCAGCAGCCTCACAGGCACCTAGAGCAGCAGTACCAATGCCCGGGTCGGGCGGGAAACACCGGTAACAGTCATCCTCATCACTACCAGTCACAGCATACATAGCAGAAAGAATAGCATCAAAGTCAAGATCATAAACAGCTACACCAGCCCTAGACAGCTCCCCCCAGCGGGGGATCTCAGCGGCCTTCGGAAACTGCTGACGCCAGGCGTCGGTCAGGCGGCCAAAGCAGCGGCGGGCTGTGTGGGTGCCTCCACACCTCTCCCCCGCACGGTCGCCGGTGCGAAGAACGTAGGGGCAGGGACCAAACGCACCACCACGCTGACGCTGCAAGTACCACTCACGGAGCTGCTGAGGGGCGGGGACGGCGCGAGAGAGCTGCTGCTGCTGTGGCTGCTGCTGCTGCTGCTGCTGCTGCTGCTGGCGCTGACCACCCCCAGAGCTGCTCCGCTGGGACGAGCCACTCCGACCCCCGCCGCCACCGCCACCCCCGCCTCCACCGCCACCCCCGTCTCCACCGCCACCGCCCCCACCGGCACCCTCGCCCCCGCCTCCTCCGCTACCTCCTCCGCCGCCACCTCCGCCTCCACCGCCTCCACCAGTACCCCCACTCCCGCCACCACCTCCACCGCCACCCCCACTCCCCCCGCCACCCCCACCTCCTCCGCCACTGCCCCCTCTAGCTCTACCCGCTCCCTTGCCCCCCTTGCCCTTGCCAGAGCGACGTCTACCACTGGGGGCAGACGCCGCACCGACCGACTCAAAACCAGCGAGGTCGGCCGCAGCGGCAGAGGCGACAGAGGGCAGCAGGGGGGAAGGAGAATACCCCTCAAAGATGGGGGTGCGAGGGTCACCCCGAGAGGCCCCTACAACGACGATGCTCTTCTCAGCCGCTAGCAAGGACTCCTCAAGGAGGTCGACAGTGAGGGTGGTGGGACAGACAGAGAGAAACTGGTCCCTAACGACACGAAGGGACTTAGGGAGACGGGTGACGAGAATGTAGAGAGTGATGTACATGGGAGGAGGGTTTGCGGCGCGGAACTCAGCAGGAAGGGCAGCGCGGTAGCGAGCGTCACTAGCGCGGAGGTGGGTAACGAGGTCAGCGACAGTGGGAAAGGCAGCGAGGTCAGGGAAGTGAAACGGTAGCATGAGGCGGCTCAGCGTAGCGGAGGAAGGGGAGGAGTAGCGTGCAACTACAGCGTCGTACAAGGCCTGAGCGGTCTTGCACTGACTAAAGTGGGCACGCTCGGAGGAAGGGAGGTGGCGACGCACAGCAAGACGTGCAGCAGCATCGCGGGTCGCCCACTTGGAGCGAACGGCGGAATCAGCATCAGCAGGAGGGGCAGGGACAGCGCCAGAGACAAAGTCAAAGAGAGAGACCTCATCGATCGCATCACACAGTAAGTACAGCTGCAGGTCTTCAATCCAGACTGCAAAGTCAATGGCTCTACCCTCAGTGTCAAAAGCTAGGACATTGGGGGTGGCCATGACAGCAGCTGACAGTCTCACCGGGCAGAAAGAGTCGGGTAGGTCAGCGGCACAGGAACACAGCCCAGGAGCAGCAGTAGCCCGACAGGAGCAGGAGTGCGGCTCCTCTGGCGGCTCGGGCAGCTCGGGCGGCTCGGGCGGCTCGGGCGGCTCGGGCGGCTCGGGCGGCTCGGGCGGCTCGGGCGGCGCGGGCGGCTCGGGCGGCTCAGGCGGCTCGGGCGGCGGCACGGGCGGCTGGGGCGGCGCTCGGGCGGCTGCACGGGCGGCTGGTGTGGCTCGTGGGCGGCTAGCGGGCGGCTCACGGGCTGCTGCACGGGTAGCTGCACGGGTAGGCGGACGGGCGGGTGCACGGGCGGGAACACGGGCGGGTGCACGGGCGGCTACACGGGCGGGTGAACGGGCTGGTGCACGGGCGGCTACACGGGCGAGTGCACGGGCGGCTCACGGGCGGGTGCACAGGCGGGTGCACGGGCGGCTACACGGGCGGGTGCACGGGCGGCTACACGGGCGGCTGCACGGGCGGCTCACGGGCGGGTGCACGGGCGGGTGCATGGGCGGGTGCACGGGCGAGTGCACGGGCGGCTACACGGGCGGCGCTACGGGCGGCGGCTCACGGGCGGCGCTACGGGCGGCCGCACGGGCGGCGCTACTGGCGGCACTAACGGGCGGCGCGAACTGGCGGCCGCACGGGCGGCGCTAACGGGCGGCGCTAACGGGCGGCGCTAACGGGCGGCGCGAACGGGCGGCCGCACGGGCGGCGCTAACGGGCGGCGCTAACGGGCGGCTCGAAAGGGCGGGCGCCGAGGTGGGCGCTAGGTCGCTCGTTAGGGCGGTCGCTAGGGCGGGCGCTAGGGCACTAAGGCGCTAGGGCAGAAAAAAAAAAAATTTAGGTGTGGGCCCTAAGCACAGTTCCCACAGGGGAACCTGCTCTGATTCCATGAGAAGAAGTGAACGAGAGAATGAGTGAACTATGAACGAGTGAAGTACAAATAGGAAACCCTAGCTGGGTTGTACCCCCTATGGGATACCCCACTATAGCCTACACAAATAAGTAAGCTATAATATTATGACATTCTCGTCATTCTGTATTCAACATCCTTTTTATAAAGTCTTTCGCGCACTCTTCTTAGTACAACTCATAACAAATCCGAACATTCTTGTTATTCGTTTTACTGCGCACTCTGCAAGTTCATTTATATTAGATGGATTGGTTCAAAGAAGTTCAACGAGATTGAGCGATGATGTATGTGACGATTGAGAAATGTCGGGGCATTCGCGAATTACATAGACGAGCACTGTATCACGAGTTACTACAAACAATAATCAAACACCAGGTAGGACAAGCGTATCCGCCCTACACAAGACCATCGCGTAGATTGTCTATGCAGGACAAGGTGGAATCGTCACACTCACGAGCCCCACCTGAATCACAAACCCCGCGTGAATGTGACGATCCCTGAATCACAAACCTCGCGTGTACAGTACACGAAGTCCTCTCCAACTTCACTAGGCCCAATTTCACCCCCCTGTGTATTCATTTTTAATTCACCCTAATTTAAGGTTGTTTCAAACAATTTGGTTTGAAGGAAACCAATGACCTAGACTGCGCACATGAGTCAGCGGAAAAACAAAAGAAACATGGTCGCAGCGGAATATTCAGTCTTCGCGTTGCAATCTCAACGTCAGAAGGGGCAAACATCGAAACGTCACAATGCCTCGGATAGCCTAAACCCCCTATAGCCAAATAAGGTCAGTTTGGTTTTAACGAGGACTGTGAAATTGGCGAGGACTGTGTGTACCAGCTCACGCGGGGCAGAACAGCAGTATGTGACAATCCCACAGCAAATCTCACCGTTTTCAGGGCGGGGTGACGTGTCATCAGCCAAAACCTACCCTGAACAGTTCCTGGGAATCTGGGTCGTTTCACAAGCGTCACAAGTCCAACTAGTCGGTGCCTCGCAGTCGCGATTTGCCCTACAGGCACCATTCATTTTGCTGTAGTCATCCACCAACCTGGCAACTGGCAAGTTAAGCTGCAACGGCGTGTCCCCTAGGGGCCGGAAAGCCCAAATCCGAACACACATGCATAAGGAATTGACTGTACGAACAGTATCCCAACAATATCCGAACGCAAATTTGAACACTCTGGTGAATGTGACAGCTCGTCACCAGAGGTGACGCCCTTGCTGTTCGAAGCCTATTCGAACATGCGACGTCGCCTATTAATTGGGCGACTTCGCGAAACGTCGCAAGAACTTATAGATTGAACCAATTTCGCCCATCCTGTCACAATGTCTCTTCGTGATCTTCCACTACTGCTCACCTAGTCACTTTCTAGCTACAGTACAAGGCCCTTTTTGATGCACTGCGACAGTTGCTGGGTGAGAAACAAACTCGCTAGCGACTAGGCAAGGTGATGTCCAATCAGAGGTGTCGTTTGCAATGCACTGCGAATCGTGCGACAACGACTCCTGGTGATGGGCTGCCGGACACGGTAAGACAGTGGAGAAGTGAGCAAGGACAGGACCCCAGAGGGGTCCGCCAGGGAGACAGCATACATGGCAGCAAGAATAGCATCATAATCAAGATCAAAGATAGCAACCCCCGCCCTAGACAGCTCTCCCCAGCGAGGGATCTCAGTGGCGTCAGGGAACTGGTGACGCCAAGCGTCCATCAGGCGGCCGAAGCAGCGCTGGGTGGAGTGCGAGCCCCAGCACTGCTCACCAGCGCGGTCGCCGGTGCGGAGGACGTAGGTACAGGGACCAGTACCCCCACCTCGCTGACGCCCAGCGTAACACTCACGAAGCTGCTGAGGGGACGGGGTCTCACGAGTGCGCTGCTGCAGCTGGCGCGGACCACCACCGGAGCCACTTCTCTGCGGAGAGTCGCGACCAGCTCCACCGTTGCCGCCGCCGCCTCCGCCACCTCCGCCGCCTCCGCCCCCACCGCCACCGCCGCCGCCTCCTGCGCCTCCACTGCTGCCACTGACACCTCCACCCCCGCCACCACTCCCACCACCACCCCCACCCCCTCCACTGCCTCCACCACCACCTCCACCGCCCTCGAAAGCCCCTCCAGCGCCCTTGCCCCCCTTGCCCTTGCCGGTGCGGCGTTGCCTGCTAGGGGCAGACGCAGCGCCGACCGACTCGTTGCCAACGAAGTCGACGACAGCAGCAGAGGCAACAGAGGGCAAAAGGTGGGAGGGGGAGCACCCCTCAAAGACAGGGGCACGAGGGTCACCTCGAGAGGCTCCTACAACGACTATAATCTTCTCAGCTGCCAGGAGGCGGTCCTCGAGGAGGTCAACGGTGAGTGTGGTGGGGCAAACAGAGAGGAAGTGGTCCCAGACCGAGCGAAGGGAGTGAGGGAACCGGGTGACTATGTAGTAGAGGGTGATGTACATGGGGAGAGGGTTCTTGGCGCAGAACTCAGCAGGAAGCGCAGCGCGGTAGCGGGTGTCACTAGTGCGAAGGTGCGTAACGGAGTCAGCGACAGTGGGAAAGGTGGCGAGGTCAGGAAATAGGTACGACAGCATGAGGTGGCTAAGGGCAGCAGTGGCAGGGGAAGAGTAGCGTGCAACTACAGCGTCGTACAAGGTCTTAGCGCTCTTGTACTGACTAAAGTGCGCACGCTCAGTGGTCGGTAAGTGGCGACGCACAGCAAGACGGGCAGCAGCATCGCGTGTGGCCCATTGTGAGCGAACAGTGCTGTCAGCATTAGCAGGCGGGGCAGGAGAGGCACTAGAGGTGAGATCGAACAGGGAGAGTCCGTCTGCCCTATCGCACTGTAGGAAGAGTTGTAGGTCATCGACCCAGACCTCGAAGTCAATAGCACGACCCTCAGCATCAAAGGTAAGGACACTGGGGGTAGCCATGACAGTAGTGGTCTAGCAGGGAGTGCTCTCACCAGTCCGGGTGGGTAGGGCCGAGGCTCGCCAGTAGGAACAGGGCTGCAACTGCGGTGGCAGCGGCTCGACGGCGGCTCGGTGACTCGACGGCTCAGCGGCTCGGCTGCGCGGCCGCTCAGCGGCTCGGCTGCTTGGCGGCTCGGCAGCTCGGCGGCTCGTCGGCTCGGCGGGTCGGCGGCTCGGCGGGTCGGCGGCTCGCCGGGTCGGTGGCTCGGCGGCTCGGCAGCTCGGCTCGGCGGCTCGTCGGTGAAGGGGCCGGGGAGGGGCCGAAAGGGGCGGCGACGGGGCCGCAAGGGGCAGTGACGGGGCCAAGAAGAGGTCGCGAGGGGCCGTGAAGGGCGGTGTCGGGGCCGCTAGAGGCGGCGACGGGGCCGCGAAGGGCGGCGACGGGGCCGCTAGAGGTGGCGACGGGGCCGCAAAGGGCGGCGACGGGGTCGATAGGGGCGGCGACGGGGCCGATAGGGGCGGCGACGGGGCCACTAGGGGCGGCGACGGGGCCACAAAGGGGCCGCGAGGGGCCTCGAAGGGCGGCAATGAGGCCGCTGGGGGCGGCGACGGGGCCGCGAAGGGGCCGCGAGGGGCCTAGAAGGGCGGCGACGGGGCCGCAAAGGACGGCGACGGGGCCGTGTAGGGTGGCGACGGGGCCGCTAGGGGTGGCGACGGGGCCGCTAAGGGTGGCACGAGGGGCCTCTAGGAGGGCACGACAGGGCGCTAAGGGCAGGGGACGCGACGAGAGGGCGGCCCACGGGGCGCGCCTCGGGCAGGGGCGACTCGCGCTCAGGTCAGGAAAATTTTTCGATTTCAGTGGTGGGCCCTAAGAAGCGTTCCCACTAGGGAACCTGCTCTATACCATGTGAAGAAATGAGGAATTATTGCATTGAGCAGCATGAGGAGTACAAGTAGGAAACCCTAAAGTGTTGTACCCCATATGAACTACCCCACTACAGCCTACACAGACTATAGCATATAAGTTTGACACCCAGTTGTCTTCAGTCAGTGTGCGGTCTTTCCAGCGAATTAGGAATTCGATCGTGCGAGCTTCTCGTGGATCACGAACTCGGTGGCTTAGGATTTTCTCGGTTGTGATGATTGGCTCGGTGGGTGGTCGTGTCATGCTGGCTGGGCGGTTGCGTGGCAGCTGGCTTGTGGATGGTACGTATGGGCGAAGCAGACTAACGTGGAATGACGGGCTGACGTACCAATCAGCAGGGAGGAGGAGGTGGCCGGTGACAGGGGTGATCATGTGGCTGATGCGAAATGACCCGCAATATCGAGGGCGGAGTTTTGGGGTGATGGGCAGGCAGAGGTTTTGAGTATCGAGCAAAACGAGGTCGTCGGCCTAGTAAGTGACGGGACGGCGGTGGCGGTCGGTGTTGCGCTTAGCGATGATATTTGTTTTTTTTTTTTTTTTTTTGCAAATGCTGCCCGGGTCCGTGGTGCTTGTATAATTTATGCGAATTGTTGCGCGCGTGGCACTGGGTTGTCGGGATTCGGGGTCATGGGTACTGTTGGGTCTTGTCCGTGGTTCAGGTAGAAAGGTGACTGTTGGGTCGTGGAGGATGGCAAATTGTTGTATGCAAATTTGATGAGTGGCAGCTGCTGTTCCCACCTGGTTGGGTCGTCACACGTGGCTCGGATTAACTGCTCCATGGTCTGGTTTGTCCATTATGTCTGTCCGTCGGTTTTGGGGTGATACGATGAACTAAACTGTATTTTCGTGTCGAACTGTTGCCATATGTTCCGCCAAAAGCTGCTTGTGAATTTCGTGCCGCGGTCGCTGATTATTACCGCTGGTATCCTGTGCAGTCGAACGACGGTGACGATGAAGAGCCGAGCTGTTTCTTCAACCAAGATTGATTTCTTACATGCTGAGAAATGTGCCATTTTCGTTAGTCGGTCGACGATGACCAGGATCGTGTCATTCCCACTTGCCACGGCCGGTAACCCCGCGACGAAGTTCATCGTCACCTGCTGCCAAGCACGCTCCGGGGGTGGTATCGGCTGCAACTGTCCTGTCGGCTGCTTCAGTGATGACTTCATGAGGTGGCAGGTGGGAGACGATGCCACGTGTCGTTGCACATCGATCAACATTTCGGGCCAGTAATAATACCGCTACAGCTGCTGTCATGTTTTTTCTACTACGAAGTGACCCGAGGTAACCCCGCCGTGTGCCTCCTGCAGTAACAATTCCCTTAGTAAAGTGTAGACTGGTACCCAGATGCGATTGGTGCCGGCTTCTACGTAATAGACCCCCTTTGCCGCTGTAAACTGCTACGAGTTGCCTCTTGTAAAGAACGGGTCTATCTGGTAACCGTGGGTGAATAGTCTTGTCCGTAGCGGGCTGGTCTGGGCGAGTAGTACAGCGTGTATTTGGGTAGTGGGGCGGGTTGGTGCGTCGGCGATGTTCGATGCCCCTTTTTTTCTAGGTGCCCATGTAATGAAAATTGGACTCGAGGAAGTCGAGCCAACGAACCTGTCGTGGGTTGAAGTGGGGTTGTGCGCGAATGTACTGTAGTGATTTATGGTCTGTCCGTACTGTCACATCTGTGCCGGTCAAGTAACAGTGCCAAACCTTGAATGCGTGCACGATCGTGAGCATTTTGCAGTCGTGTATCGGATATTTTTTTCTCGAGCGGATGCAACTTTTGTGACTCGTATGCGATGGGCTGTAGGCCATTGCCGAAGTCCTATAACAGTACGACTTCGATGACAATGTTGCTTGCGTCAGTAACGACTTCGAACGGGCGGTGGGGGTCGGCTATGTGCAGTACAAGTAGTGTGGAAATAAGATCTTTTAGGGTAGAGATGGCAGCATGCTCTTTCTCCCCCCACGTAAACGCCACTCCCTTCCGCAGTAAATTTGTCAATGGACGAACTGACGGACGTAATTAACAAACCCTAAAAAACTCTGCAGCTCTGTGATATTTGACAAGAGGTGGGGGGGGGGGGGGGGGGGGGGGGGGGGGGGGGCATGCCTTTACCGTGTCTAATTTCCTCGGGTCAATCTCGACTCCAGCCTGTGGTTTAGGGTGGTCATCTTCGAGGTAGGCGCGAAGGTCTGAAAGAAGTCAACCCTCTCGTGCTGACTGGAAGCTCTAGCCACATAGCGCACCTTGAAGATCGGAGGAGATCCTAGTGGCCGCTTCACCCTGAAGATCCACATGCCATCGACTACGTTCGCCCCAAGGGGGGGGGGAACCTCATCGACGTAGGTGCCTGTGGATTTGTCGGAGGCCATCTCTGCGTCCATGGCAGCTCTCTACTGAGAGGCCCAAGGCCCTGACACTGCCTCAGCGTAATTGCGAGGAGTTGGTATGTCAAGGGCGTCGAGGTCTCCCTCAGAGGCAAGCAGCATGGCACAGAGATGAGGGGAAGCGGCTGCCAGGAACTCCAGCTCAAACTGCCTGTCCTCTAGGGCGTCACAGCCAAGGGCAGACTCACCCCCGTCGGCAAGAGGACTGGTAGGAGGAGCAGCCATGACACGAGTGGCATAGTCAAGGCGGCGAGTAGTGGCAAACTCAATGACTGCAGCAGTAAGGGCGGAAACAGAGGACATGGAGGCATGCGGGTGTGTAACAAGAGAGGAGAGAACACGCGAGAGAACAAGACGGTACGTGCGGTAATAGTCAGTGACAAGAGTAGAGTGGAAAGCAATGAGGGTCGACTCAGGAGGAGAAGGAAGCCCAGACGGAGACGAACGAGGCAGACTAGAACGGAGCAGGATAGTACAAAGGTTAGTGACAGGGACAAGGGACGAGGGAGGAACACGAGGAGAACAAGAAGCCCAAGTGTGATAAATAGGAGGGGAAAACGGAGGCCGAGAATGGGGGAAAATAGCTGGGGTAGGGTCAGGAGGAGGAAGCGTGGGACCGTAGACAGAAGGAGAGGGGGAGGAGGGAGGAGAGGGAGAGGGGAGCCCGAGGGTCCAAAGGCTAGAGACACGAGGTGGAGGTGGTGGCAGCTGCTGTTCCTGCTGCAGCTGCTGCTACTGCTGGTGCTGCTACTCCTCCTGCAGCGGCTGCTGCTGCTGCTTGGCCTGCTGCGTCTGCTGGACCTGCTGCTGCGGCGGCTGCTGCTGCTGCTCCTCGAGCTGCCGTAGTTCTTGCTACTACCGCTCCAACTCTAGTTTCTCTCTCTCTCCAACTCCAGTTGCTCCTCACATGCACTGCGAAGACGGTCCTGGTGCTGGGTCAGGTAGGGGTGTGGGGGAGGAGTAGGGTCGGGGGCAGGAGTAGCCCCAGGACCGCCCTCCAAAGCACCAGTCGCACCACCCCCAGAGCCAGCACCACCAGAAGAAACACGGTCAGCCCCAGGCTCTCCGGATCTAGCAGAGGGCGCACCCGCACCCCATTCGTAGCACCCACAGGGACATCTCGACTAACACCAGCTCCCCCAAGACTGAGTATCCTGCAGTCACGGGCTCAGCCCCAACTCCATCACCCCCAGAACCTGGACCCCGTACAAGTACACTCTCAGCTTTAACGCCAACACCTTTAGAGCTAGCACCCCTAGGGTCCTCGACATAACACCGGCTCCGACAGGGTCTGCAGTAGGCTGTGAGGAGGGCTGTGGGGATGGGGACGGTACCTAAGGGGCTATCGAAGGGGGGGGGGGGGGGGGTAGCGTGTGACACACCTGACGGGGCTGGACCAAGGGGGGGGAGGGGGGGGGGGTGTACTGGAGGAGCAGGAGGGGGAGTGGGGGTGAAGAAGAGAGGGGGAGGAGGAACTGGGAGACCTCGACAATGGTAATAGTAGGAGACTGACTCGTCAAAACGGACGTCGCGAGATTCAAAGAACCGGTGAAGGGGAGGGTGGTAAAAGGTGAAGTCAGAGGAGTCATCGGGGAAACCAAGGAAGACACAGGGAATGACGCAAGGCGAGATCTTGTCCGCAGAGGTGTCACGAACAAGCGCCAAGTAGCCCCAGACACGAAAGCGCGATGCATCACCAGGGGACCCGGTCCAA